AAGATTTTCCGAGCCCCCAAAAAAATGTAAGAAACAGGTTATATACTTAAATCTTAATCACTACTACTCAGAGAGAGAGAGAGTATTCTGTTAGTTACAAACTCAAGCTGTCCACAACAACTTGAATGAGATATCTGTAATATTCAAAGATAACTGGGACTACTGTAATCTTTTGCAACTGGACTGAAATTCAACACTATTTTTCAGCTCTCTCTTCAATCAAGACTCATTTTTTGGGCATTCCCTATTGATAAAGTTTCAAACTTTAGGACATCCAGACATCTAAAGACCACACACATATATACATAGCATGGCAACTTGAATTTTTCCACAACCAACAAGCCCCCGCCTTTTCAGGACTTACACAAAAACAAACAACAGCACAATCGAACTAACCAATGCTCCACAATTCCATTTTTTTTTTTTCCCAAAAAAAGTAAAAAGAAGCAATAAAATTAGATAAAAAAAACTTACTCTCATCCCTCCTCACCCCTGGAAGCGAAACCCGGAACAGATACGAATCCTCCGACTCCCCAACATCCATCAGCCCAACAACGGGCCCAACGGGCCCTTTCGCCGCACTCCCCGTCACCCCAAACCCACCTTTTACAGCAGCAATCATTTGGCCCCACTCCTCCCTCGAAGGAGGCTCCGGGACAAATATCAACCCGCGCTCGGGCCCGGGCCCACCAAATCCCGAGCAATCCGCAGACCCCACCGAGTCAGAAGCTCCTTCCACCTTCACATCATACAAATCCTCGAATATGTGAAGCATCATACTATCCCTATCAAATCCAAAACCATCCAAACCCGTGAGGCTTTTGAACCTCTCGACTTCCCGAGCTTCCATGTAATCGATATTCGGGCTGCTTATGAATGCAATGTTGCTGATAGTGTCCCCAGAAAGCACGTGAAGCTCGGGAGGAAAGAGGTCAGCGAACGAGGGGTAGGCTGTGGGGCCCATTTGGGTCGGGCTATGGATGTACTGAAGTAAATGGGGCTGCTTTAGGATTAGGGAGTGTTTGGCCTTTCGGAGGATGTAGTAATAAACGCTCTCGATTATGCTCGTCTTCATGAGCGAGCCGGATAGTTCGTGTGAGGTGTATTTTGGGAGGAGTTGGGCTCGTCTTTCGAGGGCGGATTTTGGGGGGGTTTGGTTCGTGAGGTCGGGGGCGAAATAGGCGCCCGTGATGAGGTGGACAAGGAAATGCTGGTCATCGATTATTTGTACGGTCGATAGAGTGCTAACCGTTTGTTTGCGGGCCGAGGTCGAGGGATGTCCTGTTTCCATGGCCTGCATGGATTAAGCATTAAAACAAGGACCCTTTAGCAATTTTGTCAAAAATGAAAGGAACAAAAAAGAAACAGGTTTTACAAAACTGCACAATATCATTCCATTCAAAAGATAATACTTCCATCATATAGTAATTCAATTTTCCCCCTTTGAGTTAAACAATACAACAACAACAACAACATACCCAGTATATTCCCACCAGGTTGAGGTCTGGGGAGTCAGTTGTACGCAGACCTTACCCTTGTAATTATACAAGGAGGCTGTTTTCGTAGCGACCTAAAGTGCATTGCGCCGTTTGATATATTTTTTTTTTCTAGAAACTTCACTAATAGAAGAAGCACTAGAATTTAATTGAGCCATTTTGATCTAGTCCATTATTAGCACTATGCCAGGAGAATTGTCAACAATGACTCTTCCAGCTCCATTTGCAATGGACAATAATTGCACAATATCATTCCATTCAAAAGATAATACTTCCATCATATAGTCATGCTATTTTTCCCCCTTTGAGTTAAACAATTAACTGTTACTTGAAAACCTATAAAGTTTTAAGGGGAGACTTAAAGACTGACAAAAAGGGATTTTTTTGGTCATAGATTTGCTATTTTTCTTGGTTGTTTACTTAATAAGTTCAGACACAAAGATTTAAACTTTCTTACATTATATAATGCTTTTCAGCTACACAAACCATAAAATGCATAAAAGCACAAGGAATTGTTACCCTACTTGAGAGATTTCAGGCAAAAAGTTCACACCTTTCCTCATTAAAAGGTAAAATGCAAGAACATGAAGACGCAATCAGGCAGGGACAAAAATTAGGACAAACCTCACCGTCGAGATCTGAAAGCGGCGGCGAGTCCTCCGCAACCGCCGTCGGCGCCTCTTGCCGGTGAAGAAAACTATCGGACTCGCTCGAGAGATCGGTGAAAATCGCCTGGTTTTACCCTTTACACGTGTTCTTCCCTGTTCATTCACTGTGGAGTTCTTTCAGAAATTCAGACAAAATCAATTTTATTTCTCTCTTACACGATTTTCAATGTGCAAAAATGCATTGTGTAGCCTTTTGTACAAAAACTCAATTTAAAATATCTCAAAAAAATTTATTCCGACGAGACTCATTGAAGAGCCGAGCTCACGTAGTGCAACAGCTCTATGGCCTAAGCACAACCTTTGATTATATGTTACTTTTGAATACAATTGTACATATATTTATATTTATATTATATTTTAAAATATGATATTCAAGTATTCAAAATTTGTTATTGCCAACCTTTTTTCGTATGCAAATCGTATATGTATGTATGTATTATATATAACCTCATATACATTTTAAGCCGTAAATTTGTTATTGCCAACCTTTTTTCGTATGCAAATCGTATATGTATGTATGTATTATATATAACCTCATATACATTTTAAGCCGTAAAGACACATCCCGATACTCTACGGCGTCGTTTACTACGGCTGACGGGATAGGATAACTAATATAGTGGAGTTTATCATTCGTTTACCTCAAATGATTGGGACAGGTTTCGTCCTTGATGGCACGCATGTGGCGTGCGGGACCCACACCATATCTTGCATTGGTTGATTAATTAAATCCCAGGGGGAGGCCAGATATTCTTATCCCGTTTTTCATATACCCATTATAGCCTCACTTTTCCATTACAAAAAGACAGAAATACCCTTTATGTTCCATTTATTTACAATCAATTACCAAAATAAAACCAGAATTCGTCATTTTCCTTACAACATAGCAGAGACATGCACTTCCACTTTTTTAGGTTTTTCGACGAACTCGATACCCTCGTGCTCTCCGTCTGTTGGAAGGTAAGCTCGAAGTTGTCGTCCTTGTTATGTTATCTTGGTAATGGATTTATCGATTGTCATTGTTTTTTTTTTGTTTTTTTTTTGTACTGAACAAAAAATGCTTCATGTTGCCCTGGTTTTGCAGTTCCTTGGTTCGTGCTTCAATAGGTGCTCTTCTGCGTTATTTCGTTGTCTGTGGTAAGTTTCAATGTTCCCATTATTTGTGTGTTTTTTAATATCATTTTTTTGGGGGGAAACATAGGTTCTCGTCGTCGTGCAGAATTAGGGCAAATCGATTTGGGGAGAACTTCTGAAATCGAGTACAATGAGATTGGGGGAGAACTTCTGACGTGGAAAGTGATCTTGATTATGTTGTCAAATCCCATACTGCAAAGTAAACGGCCCTACAAAATTATGGAGAGAAACATCAACGATTTGAAAGAGGACAAGTTGGATCAGAAGACAAAATGCGCTATGAAAAGATTCAAATCAAATAAAAATGTTATAGAAATTCAAGAAATGTTGTTTTATTAATAAGATAGTTTAATTCATTCAAGCAGACGAAGTTTGATAAATATTGGGCAATTTTTCATACTTATTGTTTTCTTGTAAAGTCTGTATTCAGAATATTCACTTCGAAACTTAACTTGTATCAAGATCATTCTCGATTAAAAATAAAGAATTTCATTTCAAGTATGTTTTCTTGATTTTAATATAATTTATGTCTACCGTTCTCCATAAAGATTTTATTAGTTTTGACTTGAGTATATGTTTAATCGTTTATCCATGAGAATTTGAGCAATATATTAATATTACATAGTACAATTGAATAAACATAACAAAACATATATAACTGTCAAAGAGAACAGAATTCTGTATTAGATCATATTTCATTCAGGTGAACGTATAAACATATGGGCATGTTTATAACGCAGTAAATTACTTTTTTTAACAAATTCAATATTATGAGTAGTTCTGGTAAGTCAAATTTTGTTGCATTTTATATGTCACAACTACAATAATTATTTTAAATACATTTAGGCACATGCTGGCATATAAATTATACATTAAAATTGTGTTCATATTTTTTCCATCACCTCAAAATGATCTCTGGAAAGCAAAAAAAAAATGGTGATATTTCCTGTAAAAGTTCATCCAAGATTTCATTTTTCATATACCCTACAACCTCTAGAGAACATTTAAAACAACAAAAAAATCAACATATAACCAACCTATTTCATCCTATTCCATGTATCCTAATGGAACTTTGAACAAAATAACCGAAAAAATAACGAACTATGAAGAAACCCGAGATGTATACGACTATTCATCCGATCTTATTTTTTCACTGCTCATACACCATCTTGTTGATCCCTTGTTTTGTTGTTGCTCTAAGTCATTTTGCATCTAATATTGTAATAGTGTATTTTGTATTGTTCACCTCACATTGCAACAAGATGGGATTCCAAAGCGTACGAGCTTGTTCCAAAGGCAAGTAATTTGCCTCGGTGACTGGTAATGAGCCGTTATGTAATTCTCCACACACCCAAACTGGCAAAACTTGAGGCTGTGTACGTATTTAACCGGTCTCGATTTATTGAACTTCTCGACCCACATTCCCATGCTAACATCTTCCATTTTAAACAACTGAGAAGAATCATCACATGCTAAGGGTAAATGATTGAGTTAAGCAGAAGGATAAATTTTCGTAAGCCAAACTTGCAAAATGCAAGTTTTGAAATGCATGGTAGAAAGCTATATTTGATTTAGTCTTAAAGTTTGAAATTGGACGAAAATTAGGACTTGTATATAGGTAATGACCATTTTGTATAGGCAAAATTGTATTTTTAGTTCTACTGGTTTAACGTTGTAGCAATTTTAGTCCCAATGTTTCAACATTTTGCGTTTTGATCTGTGATTTAAAATTTTGCTACAATTTCAGTAAATTGCAACAAATTATACCCAAATCCAAAAATTTTCGATTAGTAATTTAAATCCTGTAATTTAAAATTTTATTGTAAAAAATGACAGAAATTGCACCAAAATATTAAATCACATGACCAAAAGGCGAAAAGTTGGAACCTTTAAATTAAAATTGCTATGGCGTTAAACCAACATGACTAAAAAATGCATTTTTGCCATTTTGTATACTCGACATTTTGCAAGAATATAAATTGAAACGTTATATAATTCCAAGTTTTTTTTCACAAATCCTGCATTCTACATGACCAAGTATCCAATTTGTCTGTCCGTAATCCATAGCTGCAAGCGCGTGCGAAAGACAGAAAATTATTGCAATTAAAACCTTACCGTCAAATTATTTTTCTCAAAGTCCGAAATAATGAAGTTGGCAATGTCACTTGAGATAATATAGCCCGGGCCATTTGCATAAGTTGGATAAAGTTCATCCGGCCATTCCTGAACGACAAATGAGAATAATGACACTTCATCATTTCAAATATATGAAATAAGTATATAATATCAGCTTCATTGGAGTATATTTTCTACGATGAAAGTCTAATGCATGAACCTTGGAAGAACATATAGTCATATAGATATATTAAAACACATCTCAGCATATACTAACGAGCCAACTTCTGTCGAGTTAATTTTGTTGAATGCATGATAAGGAAGTTGTATTTCTTGCTTTTTTTTCTTTTTTTCTTTTTTTTTTTTATTGTCAAGCATAAAATGCAACTCGATTTTCACCTCGTTCATCAATGACTCCGTCTTCACTAATCATCTCGCATATCAATCGACAAAATTCATTATATGTACGGGTGACAAGAAAAAGCTCAAGTCTCAAACGGGTTACTAGGGAATATAATTTTTCGGACCAAAGAACAAGACAAAACGAGCTAACAAACTAAACGCCTCAATCATTTTCGCAATTTCAAACTCTAACCGATTCTTTTCAAATAGACTCAAGGCAAGTTCTAATCATTCGAGAATACGACCAATATCTCTCAAGAAAGAAAAGTAAGGATCAAAACCTCACAAGGTAAATAAATGTCATTTAAAGCAATCAAGTAAATATCAAGGCAATGGTAAATACGTCCGTCATCACAATTTCCCAATTTCATCAAACAATCATTAACATATCATACAATTCATCAATACCACATGCTCGACAACATGACAACCTAGATACTAGACCGGTCCACCAAACATATTCCAAAAAAATACATCCAAAACCCATCATCAGAAGCTAATTACATAGTACTTTAGGATTCAAACAAAAACTCTTTACATAAACGAATACTTACCAGAGCAACAAAAAAACGAGCAACGACTTTTGACGACTGAACCAGCTCGTGCTGCATCCACGATTTCCTCACAGCCATTCGCTCGGCAAAGTGGTTGCCAGCCGAGAGAATGCCGACAAAGAGCTCAATGGGCCCGTCCAGGACAGGTGGGGCCCGCCACCTGTCGGACAAATCGAGATTTTTCCGATCATAACCGACATAAGAGGCAGGCAGAGAAGCAGCAAAAATGGAAATGACGTCAATATCCCCACCCAAATACAATCCGGTAGCATCCTCGAGAGCAAATCCCTATAATAAAACACACTGACCGTTGAGTTTCAAATAGCCCCCTGAGGTTTAGCTTAATTACACACAAGTATACAGTTATTATTACACTGACCGGGCGGTAAGGGAATGAGGCAACATGCTTGCCATCAACAATCATGTGGTAACCTTCCAAGCCAGCCCGAAGTGTTAGGACAAACATTTTTTCCTCGACGAAAGGAAAAGGCCACTGTATAACTGTCTTTCGGCCCAATAACCGATTTAACAACCAGCCCACGAACGATTCATTGGGAGCGTTTTTGTCGTCTTGACTCCACGCCTCGCATTTTACTAACCCATCCACTGCAAGAAAGCAAAGACCGATAATTTATTATGTGAATATAATCAATCAACTTTCAGAAGCAAGTCATATTTCCTCTCAGCCACCTTTTCTTGCTCGAGTTTTCGGAGAAAAAACTCACTTGGATAAAGAATTGGAAGAAGCTAACTGTAGTACTATACATCCTAACTTCACACACACACACACACACACACATACCCATATTCCTAATTAAGCATCTTTAATGGACATAACATGACTCCCTTTCAGTCATATATTACATGTCAACTCATTTATTCCTAATCACAGTACATTTCCCAAATGTCGTTAACCTTTTATTTCCACACAAATNCAAGACCCCTCTTAAATTCTTCAAAAAAAGTTCAAAAATTCTTTCTCTGGTTCTTTTATTTTTCTTTTCTTTTTCTCCTTCAACATTCAGTTTTAAAACTCACCGGTGTTCTCACGGGCCCTCGACTTCCAACCTTCACACCTCTGTGAGCTCCCCCATTGCATCCTGTAGCAGCTGTTGAGCTCGATCACTGGCTTTCCACTCCAATCCCCTTTTATCCTCGGATTAAAATGCACGATCCTTGGCGGGTCCTCCCCATCCGCCATTTTCAGCCCCACAAGCTCCACCATGAACTGAGACGAAGCCATCTTACGAGGCCCATTCTCCTTATCCTCCTCCCCATCCTTGGGCTTTGGGCCCATCGTCTCGTGGGCTGCCCTCGGCCTCCCAATCACCGTCACGTGCGACCCAATCGACAGCCCGCACGGCAGAACCACCGTCCTCCCCTGCATTCTCTCCAATTCCTGGCCCGCCAGCAAAATCGACACAGGGCAAGCAGCAACCTCACCAATTTCACTGCGATTAACTGATTTACCGCCGGTTGGGTTTCTGTTTCTCCCAATCGATTCGATTTCCCGCCATAGCTTCCCTCCGAGGTCGAGGGCGCGCTTGATGGACTCAGAGGTCGCGTCCCGGCTCTCAACGACGCCAGCGGCGAGGTTCAACCCGGAGACCGTCGGGGTCCGGGCCAGCTCCTCGATTCTCCTCTCGGGCCGCAATTTGTAGGGCAGGATGTCTTCCCGGAGGCTCAATATGTCATCGCCGCCGCCGATTGAAGCTTCTAGAGAGCCAGGGCTGAGCCCAGTCCGCAACACGAAAGGGAGCTCGAATACGACAAGAAGCACGTACAGAAAAGCCAAGGCGATCAGAACACGAAACGATTTCTGGCGGGTGAGTGAGGCCAGAAGGGCCGAGTCCGTCCGCTTCATGCTTCTGTAAAAATATTTGGTGAATTGTTTTTTTTTTTAATTATTTTCTTTTGGGTAATAATTAAAAGGTTAACGAAAAATGATGCTGCATTTTCATTTCTGTTAGACGACGCAGAACAAAAGGCAGTGAGGAGAGAGGGGTTTAGAGGGAAAGTTAGGTCTGCAACACATAGAAAGCTGCAGGGAGAGGGTGGTGATGGTGAATTGAAGGTGGTGGACTATTAATGGAGGTCTCTTTTTTCTTGGGTTTTTTTTCTTTTTTTATAGTGTGAAAATAATAAATTGATTGTTTTTTTTTTTTCATTTTATGTTTGTTCAAATAGATAGAATTATTTATTTATTTATTTATTATTCAAATTTCATATTCATTATTTTTTTTTCTTTTTCCGTCCCAATTCACAAATGCCATTGGTTTATAATATATATAATTTGGTTATGTAGTGTATAAGATTAATTTGTTAAATTATACATTAATAATATTTGAATTATGGATGTTTGTGTGCTTAATAAGTTTGGATTCTAGTGAATCCAATTCAATGATCTGACATTAAATAATAACAATACTGATATCATTGTGATAATAGTGTGATAAAATATGTATATAATATGCATATGAAAATGCATGTAATATTATAATTTTATATATTTATTTAAAATATGACATTATAGTTTGAATTTTATTTTATTTTTTTTAAATATGACATTTTAGATTGAAAGTAGTAGATAAAAATTATTACTATGTTACCAAACACAAATACATTATTATTTTATTTATGTCATTAAGACATTTTTATTAGTAATCAACAATGTACATCAACCAAAAAAGTTCATTTTGCTATGACAAGAGTATTATATTAGCAAAAATTACTAGCGTATATTTTTTTATGTGATTAGCTGAAAAGATATATAAAAATTTAAAATCATATTATTGAAACAGAAGTTCTTTTTTTTGGGATTTTAATCTCATTCTAGAAAAAAATTACAATCTATTGAGGTTTTTTTTTTTTTTCAAAGTTTGATGTAAAAGCATATTTAAAGTGTAAATTAATTATCATTATAAAAAAAATTAGGGGAAAAAAGCAAAAAAATCAATTTTGCTATTGAGCCATCGGATGACACGACTTGTGGAGTCATCCACACTTATTTACAAATAATGTATTGACACGTGTCCTACAATAAATACACTTTTGACAGATGTCAATACATTAAGTGACGGATAGCTCCATAAGAAAACCATCCGATAACTCCATAAAATTTCTGTAAAAAAAATTAGATGGTTTATAGTTTGTTTTGCTCAATCACATTCCACTCTTTATGTTTTTCCCTATATTTTAATTGAATAAATTTAAGCTATCAGATATCCAGTCAATGAAGTTTCTATAAATTTAAGATTACAATTTAAGTTGACCACCATTTTCTAAATTTGCAATACAATCACTAAGTGCTATATATATTAGTAATCCACCATATTTTTGTTTGTATGTTTTTTAAGTATGACATTCTCCAATAAATATATACATATTTATTAAAAAAAAAAAAGATATGTCAGTCTAATTGTTACATCGATATACTATAAGAAAAAAATTAATATATGGTTGCATCAATCGATATCTACATAGATATAAATCAATTAAAATATTGATTATATTATGGAGTAAATACAGAACAAATATATATATATATATAGGGGTTGGTTCAAATAAAAACTAGTTCTAGTGTGAGAACCGTGAGAAACCGTATTTAATGCTATTGTTAATTGTATATGATGCTATTTTTAATATTAGATGATGCTAGCATTTCACACATGATAATATAATTTGTGTTGCTATTTTTAATAAAATTTATCTTAGTTAAAAATAGCATCAAACACAATCAATTATAGCATTGTGCACAATTAAAAATAGCGGTTCTCACAGTTCTCACACTTAGTTCTCATTTGAACCACATCCTATATACATATATTTGCATTAGATAAATACAGATATGAATAGAGGGAACATAATTTGTAACATTATAAATTT